GCGAATTTTTTTTGATAAAAAACATAAATAAAAATAAAAAAGACAGATTATATTTACAAACTTTTTTGTTTACAACTCTTACAAACTACACTATGTTCTTCCGGCAGAACACTGGTTATACTATGTTATTCCGGGAGAACATAATATAATTTGTAAAAATTTTCAAAAAAATTTTGTAAACGGATATGTCTCCAAAAAAAAATGATTAACAACATTTTGGGGAAAGGATTTTTATTACAGCTTTACCTTTTTATGATGTAGAATTTGTGTTAAAATTGGCGATGACAATTGACAATATTAACTCGTATGTTAGAAGGGAAATGATTTTTACAGCCATTTTGATACACCTTTTCTCATACACAACTTGTTTGAGAAAAAAAAAACCAATGTGTGTTAGGAAGTACGCTTTGCTTGTTTTATTAATTAAAAATAAAGTTTAAGAAAAAGTAAAATTTAGAATTATATGAAATTATAATATTTTTAAATTTACTCATTGAAAACATAATTCTTGATATCTCCAAAGTTGTTGTGGTTTATTTCTATAATAGTTGAAGGATCAAGATCTTTTTCTATAGATTACACAACTCCCTATTCACAACGATTGATGGGGCAATTATAGAGCGAAAATTTTCCAAAAATGTGAATGCAGAAAAAATTAGTCAAACTTATTAACCTTAATTTCCTTATCATCTATGTGTGAGGGCTATATTTTTATGAGTTTTACCCACACTAATAATAGTTTTACATATATCCAAATATAAATAAAAGGATCACTTAATCAAGTGAGCCTATATAATAGACCTCAAATGGACGATGACTTAAACCGTTTCTATGGAAACAAGAAAAAGGGATATAATTAATTGTGCTTCACAATAATTATTATAAAAAAGCTAACATAAATAATATAAAAATAATGTGTTATAAATGTATGGGTTTGTTTTTTCTGCAGTTAATGCAGATAAATTATCTGCAGTAAGCCTAATACGACGTCGTTTTGGGGCAGAAATCATGGTATTTTTGTAATTTTAATTTATTTCAGAGTTATAATAGTCTTTATATTTATAATTTTTAAGATTTAAATATTAAAACGACGTCGTTTTGGAAATAAATGCAGATAATTTATCTGCATTAACTGCAGAAACATTTTTCCCTAAATGTATATAAATATCATTCGTGTTAACAAGTTTTTGAGTAATCAAGTAATTAACATCAATATAAGTGCAACATTTTTTTATTATAATAAATTTAAAAGTTCATGCCCACTAATAAAAATTATAATCCGAAAAAATAAATAAATTACGAACAATCACATATATTTTGAGGGTATTTTGTTTCATTTTTCTCTCTTAAAGTATCGTGCATTGTGTTGTCTGTTGTCCTTAATATTATGTTGATTTTAAATGCTGAAAAGAAAAGAGTTATGCTGGCTTTTTGACCCTTTTATTTTTAATTAATTAATTAATAATTATTTTGTCCCTTGTTCAAAATTATCTACCAATCTGCCCCTCTTTAATCGATTAACTTGAAGATTTAATCGATTAAATGGTTAAAACTGACAAAAATAGTTGACTTGAAGATTTAATCGATTAAATCTCCCAACAGGTAACAAAGGTCAAATCTATTCTATAAACAAAAGCAGATTCCATGCATATGAAGCAAATCAACAAGTATAGATAACCAAACAAACAAAGAAACCAACGAAAGAAAAACGATTCTTGGAAACTGGATTGATTTACATGAAATGATTTTGTTACTTTCCTTTTGATATAGTACGAACAACGAACCATTCCCGTCTTGCATATTCATCATAAAAATACTTAGCAGAGTCTTCAATCAGTTTTTCGTGTATTGAAGGTTATTTGAATTTTGAATTTTGAATTTTGAATTTTGAATTTAATGTAATAGGAGTTGATTGCGATTTGTATTTAATAGAAGCTGATTGTGTTTTGTATTTAATAGGACGCAATCAGCTCCTATTAAATACTAATCGCAATCAACTCCTATTACATTAAATTCAAAATTCAAAATTCAAATAACCTCCAATATCGTGTTTGTCTCATTCAATCAATGTTTTCACGCTCATTTGAGATATTTAATCGATTAAATATAAGTTTTAATCGATTAAATCAATTAAGATGGATATTTAATCGATTAAAAGAGAGATTTAATTGATTAAATTTTCAAGTCAACCATTTTTTTTTCCAGTTTTGACCATTTAATCGATTAAATCTTCAAAGTAATCGATTAAAGAGAGGCAGATTGATAGATAGTTTTAAATAAGAAACAAAATAATTATTAATTAATTAATGAAGAGCACAAGGGTCAAAAAGCCGAGTTATGCTGGTTAGAAAATATCAATAACAAAAGCTTGATTGTTAAGGAAAATAGATGATGAGATAGCCACACCCTAGACGTGAAGAAATGCAATTTATGAACATTGAAGTCTTTCCCATCTTGGAGTTATTTTATTGAGCTAACCTGTCTACTAACTTCCAACTGCTATTCTCCCAAATAAAAAGATAAACCCAACCTTACTATCACTCGTAATTGCTACCTAATTGAGTATCCTTATTTAGAGCTTTCCATCCATTCTATTTGATAAATCAGCTACTATTTCCATAATAGAGTCATTATAATTCTGTTTATTCAGCATCTTAAAAAAGCAATTGATTGGAAAGCGGATACCATTGTGGTTATTCCTTGAATCAAATGGGTTTCTTTAATAGACTTACATAGATAGAAACTGAAAATTTTATTGTAATGAAATATATGGATAAACTCTAAGTATTTTATATTAAGGATAATATATTTATTATGTTAAATGAGATAATTTTGTCTCATCCAATACATAAAAAAGTAGGTGAGACTCACTAAGAAGAACAGAGAGAGAAAAAAAAAAACCAAATGGTGGTAGCTCAGTTGGCGCATGGGAGCTGAGCAGGTGGGGGTGAGGGCACGTGTTCGAACCTCCCCAGTACCACCTTTGGGAGGGGTTTAAAGCCTTAATCCTGGACCCGCCTCGAATCGGACTAATCGCGAAGCGATGAACCGATGGAATATTTCTAAAAAAAGAGGGAGGATATTTTGACTACCAAAAGTTTCCACTACCACCTTACTACCTATCTAATCACCATTGAATTAACATTTTCTCTCTCTTCAAAAACTTTTTAACATTCTCTCTCTTTGATCCAATGGTGATTTGATAGGTAGTAAGGTGGTAGTGGACACTTTTGGTAGTCAAAATATCCCCCCTCCTAAAAAAAAGAACAGAGAAAAAAAGAAATGTCACTCACTTTTTATGTGTGCAAAAGATATTTATCATGAAAAATATATTTCTTTTATATTAAAGATTCGTATAATAACATTTCTCAAAAAAAAAATTATTTATTTTTCATTGTGCAGCTGAAGTTTTTAAAAATTACGATTAATAAAATTGATTTATTTTTCTGTAAAAAAAAACAATTCTTTTTTAGTTTCTTTATCCGAGCACAGAAGTAAAATTATTTATCTTCATAAAAAGGACTAGCCAATAAAATAATTGTTATGCATATTTTAAAAGGAAATATTTTATTTACAAACTATAATATGTCTGGCCGATCATACACTAATCAAGAACGTATGACTAGTCATACTTATTGTAATTTGTAAAAAAAAATTATAAATAGATCTTTTCCCTATTTTAAATTAGTCAAAAATAAAATTCTTACCATTAATTAGTCTCTCGAATAATCTCCTGTTTCTTTCATAATTATCACATATTTTCACAAATACAAAATCAATCATCCATAATTACGGAATAAGTCATTCATTAACACAAGATCACTAATTTTTCATAATAATAGAATCAATTACTCATAAATTGATTCCATATATATATATATATATATATATATATATATATATATATATATATATATATATATATATATATATATATATAGGGGAAAAATATTTCTACAGCCACTTTAGATAAGGTTATTTACAGCTAGTCATTTTTAACTAAGTATGACCGGTCATACTTAGTTATAACAATAAAGCTGTTCTTTTTTTCTCTTTTCTCATACACTGTCGGCTAACGTGGCGGAGAGAGAAAATACAATTTTAAAGTCTGACCGGTCACACTTAGTGAAAAATGGGTAGCTGTAGACAACCTTATCTAAACTGGCTGCAGAAATATTTTCTCCTATATATATATATATATATATATATATATATATATATGAGCTTATCATTTCTGAAGCTGCTTGAGATAATCTTATCTTCGGCTACTAAATCATAATCGTACAAAGATGGATCAATGGTGATAAAGGAAGAGAGAGAAAAAGGGAATAATAACTATTCAAAGATGAATCAGCTTGAGAAATGTTTTTCCATATATATATCCTTTATAGAATCAATCACCCATAAATTAATTCCATAAATACAAAATCAATTACCCATAATCAATGTCAAATTATTTATGATAATTAATACCTATAATTGATATAAAATTATTTATGATGATTAACACCTATAATTGATATAAAATTATTTATGATGATTAACACCTATAATTAATTGAAATGTGATCCCTATATTTCTCCTACACGCGTACAATTCATTCACATTCAATCAAGAGACTGCCCAAGTAAGCAGGTGCATACAATGCATATTGTCTTCATATATTCACCAACACAAGGACACAAAGTTTTCCTTATCCAAAACCAAGAGAAGGGTAATTTAGTCATTTGCAGATAGATGAGATGAGAAATCAAATCAGCAAAAAATTTATGTTTTAAAAAAGAAATCAAGTCATAACCATTGAAGAATTATAACTTACAAATATATACTAATAATTAAAGTAAGAAAATGCTCAAAGGGCCCCCAAAACCGCCTGCTAGTGCAAGTCAGCATCAAAAACTTATCACACCAATATTCAAATTCGCATTCATCTGCCGAACCATAGTTGAAAATAAACAAAAAGAAAAACACAAAGCAAACCTTTGCAAACCAAACCAAACCAAGAGGGGTAGAATCTCTCTTGTTGTTTGGCTTTCAAGCCTTCTTCCTTTTCTTTCATTCTTTCCCTTGTGATCTTCCTCATAAGAAAAACAAAACCACAACCAAGGTTTCTTTCCTTCCTTTGCTTGAACTCCACAAACTAAGGAAGGAAAACCAATTTCTTATTCCTTTATTGCCACTTGTTTCATCTTGTGATTTTTTTTTTCCCTTGGAATATGGTTCAAAGAAAGGTACCAAGCAAGCTTGGTATCCAAGCTGAACATGTTAAATCAAACATGAAGCTATCTTCTTCTCAGCACCAAGATGGAAAAAGTAGAGGAGCTGATATGAAGAAGAAAATGAAGAAGTCAAGGTCTATCAAGCTTTCTGATCATAAGGGTCTTCAATCATCATCACCTTCAAGGAGAAGCTTTTCTCAACCAGGAAAGCCACAACCTCTTCATGTTCCAACAACAACAGCATCTCCACAGAAGCATCAACCTTTGGTGAGAACAACATATGGTTCACCCAATTACATGAAGCCCACAAGTAGTTCACATGCAAAAAAGGAGCTTTTCCTGGTGAGCCACAAGAACACTCAACCAGGTTCTGATTTTAAAAATCTGCCAAGAAAATTTTCCTGTGATTCAAAAGATATTTATGTTTCTAGTAAAAAACCTGCAAAAACATTGACAAGATCATCTAGTTTGAGTTTGGTGAGAACATTGACAAAGACTACTAGTTTCAAAGCTTCTAGAACTTGTCCCAGCAAATCCACCAGAGCTGCTATATGTGCTGATATGAGTGCACCACAAAAAGCTACATGTTCTTCAACTTTGAAAAACTCAAAGTTCCCTCAATACCTTATGCTTAATCCTGGGGGAACTGAGTCAGAGGGAACTTCAATCATGAAGGTTTGCCCTTATACATATTGTTCTCTTAATGGTCATCACCATTCTGATTTGCCTCCATTGAAGAGCTTCATGTCATCAAGGAGGCGCCTTTTGAAGACCCAGAAGCGCATTAAGATAGAAGCTCTGAGCCCTCGGAGATTGAAGGTTCCCCATGAGACAGAGAAGAAGGATTCTGATCATGAGCAGAATGTCTTTGATGCAAAACCTGCATATGATGAAATTGGCATGGATATCTTTATTGAAATCTATGCTAAGGAAAAGGATGCAAAACCAGCAGAAGAAGCAGAAGAAATGGGGAAAATTGATTTTCTTGAAGAGATTGAGGGTCAAGAAGATAACAAGTCTACAATAGAGGATGAGGACAAAGTTACTTTAAGCATTACTGATACTCCTTCTCCCCTTAAGTCTCAGATTGATCTTGAGGAGGACTTGAAAAATTCCTTTGATGATGTTGCAACTGAAGTAGATACAAAGGGGGATTTTCTACAAGAACAAAATGCAGAAGATGCAGATGAAGATCACAAGTCTAGTTTGACTCATGAAGAAATAAGTATGGGAAGCTATTGCAGTGATGAGGAACACATGGGGGATGTTGACATGGATGATTCTGATGCCAAAGCCTATGATATGGAGTGGGAGGAGGAACAATTTTGCAGATTCGATCATGAAAAGGATGCTGATTCAAGTGTCTACACAGAGGAGGACAATGACTCAAAAGTGGAGTCCTTATCAGAGAGTTCTCATGGTGTGTCTGTGACATGGTTAGATGATATCCGTAGCAACTATTATGAGGACATTCTGGTTGATGAAACACTCAAAGAAGCCAAATCAGAAGAAGGCACCTATATTGAAGAAGAAAGCACAGTTGTTCAAGGCCAGGACTTGTTGGAGGAAGATCAAGGAAAAGCTATTAAGTTCCAAAGCACAAGTTGCATAGGTGGTGAAGAGAAAAACACAAGCAAGAATTGGAAAGGTTCAATTAGGAGAAAGAGGCCCATTGAAGATGATGATGAAATGAGAAATTTCAACCCAAGAGAGCCAAATTTCCTTCCATTGGTTCCTGAACCAGAACCAGAAAAGGTTGATCTGAGGCATCAAATGGTGGACGACAGAAAAAATGCAGATGAATGGATGCTTGATCGTGCACTCAGACAAGTTGTCACAAAACTTGCTCCAGCTAGGAAGAAGAAGGTGGCACTGCTTGTTGAAGCTTTTGAAACGGTAATGCCAATACCAAAATATGAAAATCATACGAGAAACAATTCAGCATTTGCTCATGCAACACGGATTCAAGCCTGTAGCTGATAGATGCTGAGGTAAAAATTTAACATACACCCCCTTTTTTTTTTCTCTCTTTCTTTATAGGCTTCTCATTAATCATCAACATGTGTTTCCCCATTTTAAAAGTTTAAGACTTCTTCAAGGCATAGAATAATTTATATTATTTTTAGTAGTGTTACACTTATAATTTTATTTAAATAATTCAATATATTTTTATTTATGTTACTTTAGGATAACTATGTTAATTTTGATATCTTTTGTTGTAGTTATTTTTTTATATTTAATCAATAAAACTTGTTATTTTCAAGTGTATATACAAGACTAATACTAGATTAAGCTTAAAAAATAACAAACAACTTCATGTTGGAAGAAAAACAATAATTTTATAGATCAAATATCATAACTTCAGAAATTCCTGTTTTTCTTTTCTCTTTTGGTTAGTGTGCACATGAAGGTCAACAACGAGGAATTGTTATCTTGAACAGGAAGCATAGCCAATTTCCAAGAGAAATCTGCATGCCCGTTACAACAAGTAATTTGTTGAATATCTCCTTTCTGAAGCATGGAAACATTCAGCTTGAAGCATTAAGGAACATGTAACAGACAGGGTGCTTAGCTCTATAGATTTGCTTTACAAAAATTGTTTAGTGTTCTTTAATTATCTGTTTACTTTGTTATGTTTGTATTTGACGCACCAACACTTTGTGTTTTAAATTTATCCATGCCTCCGGGTTCTGTTAACTTATTATATTTGTTTCTACAATGCAGAAGAACAACTAAATATTATGTATTATATAATTTTCTTTTCTTCTTTCATCATCATGAATTATTAAAAATATTGATATTTTCTTTTCAGATTGTGACTAGTAGTTAATACATATGTGCAGCTGGGAAGTCTAAATCGTTGTCAGTAGTCACCTAATATTTATAGAGAGCAAATAAATAATAGACATTTTCTGCCCACAAAATAAAATGTTAATTCAAGAAAGCGTGAAATCAACATTTGTTATTAGATGTGATAATGAACAACTTTAAAAATAGTTATAAACCATGGTTTGAAAGGCAAATTTCAACTACATTTCAAATAAATCTTTTCTTGATGAGTACACTGCATTTCGATTTTCAAGTTACAACTACCGACATTGTCTATTTCCATAGGGTAGAATAGGTGATAAGAGATAACAAGACAAATACCAATTCTATAGTTGAGCTCAACTATGATATTTATGTTGGGGAATGATCTCTTTACAGATTTTTTTTACAAATTACACTAAGTATGACCGGTCATACACTCTTGATTAGTGTATGACCGGTCAGACATAGTGTAATTTGTAAGAGTTTGTAAATAAAAAGTTTGTAAATATAACCTTTCTCGTTTATGTTATATAATTTAGCATTTAACTAGTATCCTAACAGTGTCCTAAACAAATAATAGCATTCAAATGTAACTTCAAGGTTAGAATAGTGAAAATCATCTTATGGAAACCAAACAACCTGCATTTTTCTTAAGCAGAAAGGTAGAACAAATTTTTACAACATATAAGCAGATGGAACAAATTTTCCACAAGAACCCTTATTGGTTTATGCAGAACATAATCTTGCCCAAAAGTCAAAACCATAGTATAATATACTTCTATTGCAATGCGCAAGTAACATGAAGATATTGTCTCAGCCAAAGACCAACGAAAACATTGAATTATTCAATGATATGTGGTAGATGGATTAACCAATCACTGGAGTCCTAATGACCTTTTTTGATTCATCAACATACAATCGAACTCGCTGGATTTTGTAATCAAAAGTGACAGAATAACCGGGAAGCACCACTTGAATTTCAACCCCAGCCATCTCCTCCTTTATCTTTTTCTCTGCTTCTTCTGCAGTGACTCCAACCAGCTCAGGCCAACTTGTTTTTGTAGGATTATTTGTCCCCAGAAGCTGGTTGTAAGACCCTGCAAAAACACATTTTTATACCACTTGTTGATTTAATTTGGCATTGCACTGAATATTTGGAAAGAATAAAATTAGCACTTACTTGGTAAGGGGTCATTAGGTTTCTCTTGAGGAGTATTAGTTCCTTGTCCTTGATTTTCCTCTGCCATAAATACCAAACGACCGAACACTTCTCAAAGGATCCTTCGCTGATCTTTGAGGGGGATGGAAGTTATCTCAAGCCTAAACATTTAAGTAGGGATTAAGGAATCTACAACCAAACAAAGCTGGTTCTAGGTTGGCACCTATTTTGGACATTTGCTTAATGAGACAAGTAAGCTGGTTTTTCCAATGCCATGTGCCTCGAATTTGTGGTGTCACGTAAGCTAACTAGGACTATATGTTTGCCGTATATAATGGTGGTGACATGCAAATAATTTATTAGCTCTGAAGAAATAAAAAAAAGGGTTTCAAGAGAATCAGTCTAGATAATATCTTTGTTAAAGCTAGTATATACCTGTGATGATCAGAGTAAGTGGGAAGGTGGCAAGAATTATTGGTTCAAATTCAAAAATAATTCTATATTCAATTTGGAATTTAGGGTCTGGAATAGAAGTTGTAGCCCGGAAACAGATAAACTGCATTTAATTAACGTAGAATGCCGTGTACTTGTGTTCATTGAAATGAATGTCAATACCAGGAAATACCCGAATCAGAGATTCAAGCCACGTTACGTTTGCATGTTCACTCTGCTCCAGAGCTTCTTTTGCCTTGATGTCATCAATAAACATTCTAAGAGCACCTATTGTTGACAAAGAGTTCACTAAATAAAGAAAAATGGGGTAAAGTCTACTATTAAGAAGGAGAAATGACACAAATAGTAATGAAACCGTTGGTTTGATTTCAATCTAGCTAATTAAATTTCAGTAATGGAAGAGAAAGAGACCAATTCCCTTTACATTCTTTATTTTTTCATGCAGTACCAAGTTGCAGCCACTAAACAAACAATCCTACTTATTTTACATCACTTTGTTACCTTCTCATTTGGCAATGAGGCAACAAGCCAGATTTAAAAAGCAAATTCTTTAACACCAAAAACAAAGTATGGTCAACTATCCTGATTTCCACTCAAATCGCAAAAGAAAAATTCAGAAGCCAACTTCGCTTCCCAACAAGAGCCTGATAGTAAATATCATTACCAAGCATATATAAAAAGGGATCTGGTTGTTCAGGCATGATATCAAACAAGTTAAGAGCAATTAAACAAGGGAAATCATTATCTCCTTCTACATGAGATAAGAACTTTTTCTTACACAAATTCGTTTTCCGTGCCAATTAATTTTTCTTTTCTTTTTTAATTTAAAATGTGGGACCCACATTTAATTTATCTCTACTTTTTTTTTCTCCTACTATCCTACAACATAAGAAAATATGCGCCCATTAAACAAACATCACAAAATCAAATTAAAGTAACAGTTTGTCTCATCTCATGTAACAGTTTAACCAGTCCTTTTGTCGTTTCCCTACACACGAGCTCAATGACGATGACCGCTGGGCACGAGCTTGATCCCTCTCTCTCCATATAGCGATTAGTGCGAAGAGCCTGACATTGAGGTCAACGCAATCTATGTTGCTAACAGGGGCGTTGTCAGTTGTCACGGCCTACAAATTGGTTTATGTGGGTCCATTTTAAAAATAATATAGGCTTATTCATTAAAAGGCTGGTTTATAAATCAGCCAATAAACCTACTTTAGTAGGTTTGACCTCACTTCAAAATGGACTCATATTTTTTATTAAATAATATTTTATTTTAATAACATAATATCTTATTATTATTTTTGTAGGTGTTTTATGCATATACGTATCTTGTTTTTGCTAAGCATGTGTTTATCTGTATGATTTTTTTTATTTGTTTCTCTTTATTTATTTTTCTTGGAAAATTCTCAGAGAAGTTAGTTGATGGATATCTTCAGAGCTAATAGTAAGTCTTCATTTTTCATATTTTTTGTTTTGGTTGATGGATATCTTCAGAGCTAATAATAAGTCTTCATTTTTCATATTTTTTGCTTTGTAATATAATTTGATTTGACTATTTGTTTTTTACATTTAACAACGTAGTGAAATTGTAAATATTTTGAGTTATGCTTAGCTATTGTACAAAGTAATTATAACATACAATTCATCGAGTGCAATATATTAGTTTTGAAGTCTTGATAGGTCAAACCAAACCTTGTATTTTTCAAAACAAGCCACACTAAGCTAATAATTTGGCTTGTATTAAGCTAAAAAGTTAAGTCAGATTTGAAATAATTTACATAAGCATAACCCATTTATGTTAAAGCCTAACTTGACCTTGCTTATTTACACCCTTAGTTGTTACAGAGGAAGGGCGAATCCGCCAATGAACAAAGAAAGTACTTGAAAAAAATGATATTATTAAGGGCATGTTTGATACTAGGGGTGGTAAACGAATCAGGGACCTTTAGCTCGGCTCGTGAAAGTCTGAGTTTACATGTCTAAAATTGGTTGTTGGAATTATACAAAAGCTCGTTTAATAAAAAGGCCTCAAGCTTCAATTTAAAAGTTCGTCCTTAGAGCCTCTCAGGATGACATAATATATTAATTTTTATTTTTAATTTATATTTTTTATACTACTTGTAATAGCTTTCTCTTACTCCTCAATCCATTTCACCCCATTTTATTAGTTAAACAGACTTTTTGAATAATTTTGTTTTATATTATGCTGTTTGGATAAATATTGATTTATAAATATTTATGGAATTACTAGTACTGTTGATTGTATATTTTGTTTGGATAAATTTTTGTTGTCTTATTTATATTAAACAGGCTAAACCAGACTTTTATTTTTAATAAATAAGTCAGGCCACAGGCCGATAATTATATTCATAATAGGTAACAGGCTTGATCAGGCTAACACATTTAAACACAGGCTTAGCCTTTTAAGATCAAAGTTCTGCTTGGCTCGGCCCGTTAACACCCCTATTTGGTGCACTGTATTTGATAATGCCTGATAGTATAAGACCTGATAGCATAAGACCTGATTAAATTTTAGTATTATCCAGCAATTGACATGGTATTGTATAAAACTATATTGTATAAGATAATACACTCTATATAATACTAGATAGGATAAAAATACATATTTTTGACAAAAGTATCATTTAATAAAGAATTTATATAATTCTTCCAAATAAGTCATATGATATTAATTTTTATAAAAATATATTGATCAGTGTGTCCAAAAAATATATTAATTTTTACAAAAGTAAAACTCCAATATTTTAAAAATTAATATATGGAAAAATTAATTATCATTTTAATATATTAATATTAAAATAATATATTTATTCTTGAGAATTTCATTGGTTGGCGATGTTAATACATCAACCCTTTATCAGCCTAACCTCACCCTTTTAGGCCTAATAAAATTATACATCATTTTGATATATTAGGGAATTTTGTTGTATAAGCTTATACTATACGATGGTTATACCAAACAACTAAAAATGTTGTAACGCATAGTATAAGCTTAGGGTCTGCTTGGTGTGATTTAATTGTCATTTTTTTTCTCTAATTCTCTATTTCACTAATATAGCTAATTAAATTTCAGTAATGGAAGAGAAAGAGACTAACTCCTTTTACATTCTCTATTTTTTTATATAGTATCAAAGGTTCGGCCTCTTAACAAACAATCCTACTTATTTTATACCATTTTGTTACCTTATCATTTGGCAATGAGGCAACAAGCCAGAATGTCATTACAACACATATTCTTTAACACCAAAAAGTATGGTCAACCATTATGATCTACACTCAAATCCCAAAAGCAAAATATAGAAGCCAACTCAGCTTCCCAACAAGAGACTGATAGTAAATATCATTACCAAGTATATTTAAAAAGGGATATGGTGGTTCAGGCATAATATCAAACAAGTTAAGAGCAATTAAACAAACATCATACAATCAAATTAAAGTAACAATTTGTCCAATTTCATTTAATAGTTTAACTGGTCATTTTGTCATTTTCCTACATAAGACATTGATCAATGTAACATCCCCATCTCGAGCCAGTTCAATTAACAAACATATGATACAAACAGAAATAACATAAGACTTAACTTACGAAAATACAAGCTAGTTTTTTCTTTTTCTTTAATCCTTTTTCACATGATATCTCCCATTGTATACTTCTCCTAATTTAATTCTTATTTGACTACGACGAAAATCGGGCAGAGTAACCTCTGTAAATTGCACAATTGGGATTTGCAAATCCCACTCTCAAGGGTTCCTGATAAACAGTTTATACCATATATGGTTTTAGAAATACCATATGTCCACATAGGACTATATACCCAACCATGGGCGCATGTATAACTTGGCTCCGTGCCACTATGTCTAACACTATCCAAATACAACATGCAAGCGTATAACTGAATACTACCTCGTAATATAAACATGCCTGAATACACAATTGTACATGCATCAAAGCATAAAACATGTACAAATCATATACAGGCCATATACAAAATAAAGGATCAGACGTCATGATCCTCAAAATAATGGAATACGAAGCAACATAAATATACTGCAAAATGGCAGTAGCCTACAGCTACTCAAAAATCTGGTCCGCAATACACTCTAACCACGGGTCGTATCCTTGCCCCGAGAAAGCTCAACGGCAACCTGTGTACCTGAAATGATGTCCCCAAGAAGGGGTGAGATAACAAATCTCAGTAAGCTCCAGGTTTATAGAGAATTCTCAATACCCCTGGGCCCACTCCTGCATGAAAGCCGGATACAGAGTATACACCATATCATATAACAGATATCATAATAGAACAAAGCATATCTACATATCTTATTAGAGGCGTATGTAGTAATTCCCAAGGGAGGAGCCCAAGCGAAAATCAACACACGTGTTTCCAAGGGAGGACCCCAAGCGAAACCAGAACATAACAGAGGTGTACACAGTCAGTCCCGAGGGAGGACCCCAAGCGAACATCACTGCACCAAACAATTCAATGGTCAAAGATCAATACATAAATCATATCAGAACAAATCATATCATGATATCAATTAGCTCTATATGAATTCATCTATACAAAGCATCAAATACAATCATACATTCTAACCATAGTTCACTAACCATGGTGGAGCACTCAAGCAGGAAAAGACTCCTTAAACATAGAGCTTACCTTTTGAATCTTTATCGATTTGCTCACTTGTAACACAAGTTACCTA